AGTAAAAAAAATGTTAAAATCTTATTTAAATAGTTAATATTTATTTAAAGTTAAAATTTATCAGTTACTTTATTTATTGCGTAAAATTGTTTGACTGCGTTGAAGCATGCGGCGTGCCGACGCTACATTGCATCCTGTACGTTCAGACCGCAAGCTTCTTGTCCTCCTCGATCAGGCATGTCTCGAGTCAGTGAAGGCTTCTGGTGGGAAAGAGTATCAACTGCTCACTCCGGACAGACACAAAGAAAGGATAATAAAATCTGGCAGAGATCCCGCGACAATCAGACCAGATATTCTTCATCAATCTCTCCTGATGCTGCTTGATAGTCCTCTTAATCGCACGGGCAGACTGCAGGTAGATCCGGTTATGCTTTTTATTACACCTGTGTAACTTTGTACTATCATTTCTACTTACGTGGGTTCCGTTTGTGCTGCAAAGTCTAGTAAGTCTAGAGGCTTAGGGCTACTTGATCCTGAAATTCTCCTGGATTGTTCTCACGTGCTCAGTCATCGTGAAGTAAATTCCAGGTATATTGAAATGCTAATTTTCTTGATTTGCGTTACAATAATTCACATTTATGCAGTATCTGGTTGTGGATTTACACTAACCACTTATCGGTCCGGTTATCTATTCTAGCATCAATCCTCTTGGATTTAATTTCAATTCTTATTTACGCTAACTATTTTTATATGCTAAAGGCTGATGTGTTCGTTCATGTATTTCACTTGTGCCGCAACGCAAGGCAAATCAAAGGGTTTTACTTAAACCCCAGACTTTTCGGCTCACATCGTAGGCTCGACTGATTTGCATTGCTTCCCGTGTATTTTTTTTCATGCCTCCTACTCCTGACGTTTCCCATACAACCAGTAATCTTGTTCTCTTTTTGATTTACAATTTCCCGTTCGTGTCACTGATCCTAGCACATAATTAGGCCAGTCGCTCTCATTGCCCAGTCAAATCCTTTTGGCTACCATTCTTGTCTCGCTTTCTTCGTTAGATTCACAATCATCCGTGCTTGTATTACATCTCAGATTCAATATCTGGTCACCTATCCATTTACAAAATTACCTCTGCTGGCATCGACCCCTTTGATTTATACAAATTATATATTTTTTTAAATGTTTGGCTCTACCTGGTGTATTCACACATATGTATTTCATCTGTGTTGCAACGCCAGGAAAA